CCCACCAGCCAGCCAGCGCGCCCCCTCCGCCCCGACCCTTTTATTTCGACACGGCACCGCCCCCTCCGCAACGTCGCCGCCGTCGTCGCCGACGTCGCCGACGTCGCCGCCGTCGTCGTCCTCCTCGGGGGCACCGCTCCTGGACGCTACGGTGCCGGCAAGCGAAACGGCTCGGGCCGCAAGTTTGGTTTACGGGGGGGCCCCTCATTCGAGAGGCGCGTACAAGTCCGCCAACCCCCAAGGACATACCCGCCAGATTCTGCACGTACGCAGAACAGCTGCCCTGGACAAGCGTTCTCCGTACAAGGTCGTAACACGTGGCACTTTGCACCACAATCATCTAGCAGCCAGGTCTGTTCAAAGTTTCGCGGGGCCTTCCTTGGACATTGGAGGCTTCCGGGGAGCCTTGTCATGTCCTTTTGCGGTTGCCGGGCGCCTTTTGATACCTTTTGTGGGGTTCTTGGGTGTCTGTTGGAGGTCTCTTGGGAGCATGCTGCACGTCTTTGAGGCCATCTTGTGGGGGACGGCCCTTTGCGCCTCATCAAGCTCGCCCTCTGAAGCCCCTCTAGCGGGCCTCTCTAAGCACTCCTCCGATTTCTCGTCCCCTCTCCCCCCTCGTCTCCTTCACTTCCTCCTCCTCCTCCTCCTCCTTCCCCCCCCCCTTCCTTCCTGTACAAGGGCCATGGCACGCGTGCCACTTGCTTTTAAGGAAAAGGAATGGAGGAGGAGGAGGAGGAGGAGGAGGAGGAGGAGGAGAAGGAGGAGAAGGAGGAGAAGGAACAGGAGGAGGAACAGGAGGAAGAGGAGGAGGAGGAGGAGGAGGAACAGGAGGAAGAGGAGGAGGAGGAGGAGGAGGGAGGAGTATGAGGAGGAAGAGGAGAGGAGGAGGAGGAGGAGGAGGAGGAGGAGGAAGGAGCAGGAGGAGGCGGAGGAGGAGGAGGAGGAGGAGGGAGAGGGGGAGGAGGAGGAGGGGGAGGGGAGGGAGGGAGAGAGGGAGGGAGGGAGGGGGGGAGGGGGGGGGACAAGCTAGGTGCGCTCGCGTCATATCTGACGTCCTACCCCTCCCTCCCATCCCTTACCATGGCGCTGATTTTCTCTATCCGCGGACGCGTGTAGTAGCGGACCTGTGGCTCCGCGCGCGCGTGCGTAGTGGGTGGTGGTGCACGTGCGTGCGTGCGTGCGTGGGTGTTGTGAGGTGTAGACGAGGTGCGTGGTTGTAGGTGGGTGTGTATTGTGGTGGTGGTGGGGTGGTTGGTTGGTGAGGGTGGGGTGTGGTGGTGGTGGTGGTGGTGGTGGTGGGGTGGTGTGTGTGGTGTGTGCTGTGTGCGAGGTGCTGTGGTGTACGTGGTGTGGCGTCATGGTGGTTGTGGTGGGGCCAGGTGCGAGCGTGAGTGATGCGCGTGGTGGTGGTGGGCGGTGGTGGTGGTGGTGGTGGTGTGTGGTGGTGAGGTTGGTGGTGTGTGCGTGTGTGGCGTGTGTGTGTGTTGGCGTGTGTGTGGGTAAAAAAATTGTGGGGGTGTGTGTGGTGTGTGCTTGCGTGCGTGGGTTCTGGTGCGAGCGTATGGGATGTGGGTAGCGTGGTGGTGGGTGGGGTAGTGGGGTGGTGGTGGCGGTGCGCGTGCGTGCGTGCGTGCGTGCGTTGGTGGGTGGAAGTGGCGGTGGGCGGGGCGGGGCGCGGTGCGGTGGTGGCGGGTGGATGGGCGCGCGAGAAAGAGGCCCGCGCTGGGGCGAGAACGCCATCCTGAACGACGGAGGCAAAAGACCGATCCGACAAGGAGACCAACGCTGCAGCGGGAGCACGATTCGGAACGAGCGGGGCCCGAAAATGAGGCCGGCGCCTCAGCGAGAGCAGCATTTTGAACAAAGATGCAGGCGAAAACCCAACTCCCGGGAATCCTGTGTGTAAAAAAGCAGGGCGCGGGGGGGTGGGGGCGAACACTCCCAGCACGTCATCAGTGGAAGAGGGAGAGTAGTATTCATATTGAGTAATTGTGGAGGAGGGGGGGGGAGGGGGAGGGGGGCAAGCTAGGGGCGCTCACGTCATATCTCTCGTCCTACCCCTCCCTCCCGTGCTTTACCATGGCGTAGATCTCCTTTCTATTCGCACAATCGGATGTCACAACATGGCATAGCATTACATGGCATAGCATGGTGTCGAAGATCAACGCGCAGCATGACATAGCATGACGCGGCGACGCCCCAAAGTGGGGTGGAGGGCTTCAGCGGCCCAAAAAATCAACGAATCGACACCGAATATGGAATCACTTCCGATAGTTTTTTCGGGAGGCATTGTTTAGACTTTGGGGCGTATTTGGAAGGACCGAAAACCATGCCATGGCATGGCGCTGGAAATAATGACGCCAGCGTTGCAGCGGGAGCACGATACGGAACGAGCGGAAGCGCGGAGATGAAGCCAGCGCTGCAGCGGGAGCACGATTCGGAGCGAGCGGTAGCCCGACAATGAGGTCAGCGCTTCAGCGAGAGCAGCATTTCGAGAACAAAATCCAATGGAAAACCCAACTCCCGGGAATCTTGTGTGCAAAAAACCAGTACGCGGAGGGGGCCGAGTATTTCCCGGGCGCCACCAGGGGAGAGAGGAGAGTAGTATTCACATTGTGTCATTGTGGGGGGGGGGGAGGGGGGAGGGGGGAGGGGAGGAGAGGGCTGGAAGCTGGGGGCCTATCTTTTCGCTCAGCTTGACGTCCGAGCGGGCCTGCGGCGAGGCGGGGGGTCTACTCGAGGGTTCTGGCCCCAGGGGCCCATGGTTCGAACAGTGGCGGAGCGTCTTGGCCTGCCGTTGGCGGCCACGCGCAGGGGGAGGCAGCGGGGGAGGGGGAAAGGCTTCTCGGGAGCACCCCCTGCTTCTCGAAGGGCGTGGGCCTCATCTGCAGAGGTGGGGCCAGCGCCTTCGAGGCGGCAGCGTCCTTCCGTGGAGCCCTCCCCCCCCTTCTGAGAGGCCCCCCGGAGGACCCCCCAAGGAAAGAGGAGCGCGCACTCCTAAATGCACAACTTCTGGCATCCGCCTCGATCCCCCCTGGCGAGCAGGAGTTGGACCCCACCTCCGACGCCGTCTCTCCTCACGACGCGGACCCCCGCAACCCCGTCCCCCCAGAGCGGGCTGCTCATCCTGAGGGACAGGCCCGACTTAACCGCAGGCAGATACGATAGGAAATCTTGCCCAAAGAGAGCCTGGGGCACAACCTTCGTGGATATTCGAGTCGTTTATTCTGCAGTCCCGGGGCCCAGCAGAACCCCCCGAGGCCGAACACGCAGGCAGATTCACAGCTTGATTTTTCGATGGCGTCGGCGGTTTGGGTCTCGCTCTCCTGCGCGTGTTCTGGCCGGCGCCTAGATAGGAACCCAGACGTAGCGACGAGAAGCGTCTGGGGGGCCCGATCACCGCGACAAGTCCGCTCAAAACCTCAGTCCTCCATCCTCGAAAGGGGGGGGAGGGGGTTTTCTCTGCGCCGCTCCGGTGGGTCCCCTTCCCCCGCTGCCGGTCTCTGCCATCCCGAGCGGGTGTTCTGACGGCCCCGCGGCCCGGCAAGGGCCTCCAGAGGTTCCAAGTCGTCAGAAGCCGTTGGTTGCGATTTCTGTCACGACGCGCTGAGGTTGTTTGGCGAGGGGGTGGTTTTGGGGCCATCGGCTCCGGGCGGCCGCGCGGGGCGACCCGTGCGTCCCAAGAGCGTTCTCGGCGGGGCGAAGTTGCTGGAGGTCATCCCGAGGCGATAAGACCTCCAAGAGTCCAAGGGCCAACGGAAGCTTCCAAAATTTCCACGGTGTGAGGAGGAGGAGGAGGAGGAGGAGGAGGAGGAGGCGGAGGAGGAGGAGGAGGAGGAGGAGGAGGAGGAGGAGGAGGAGGAGGAGGAACGGAGGACGGAGGACGGACGGAGGACGGAGGACGGACGGAGGACGGAGGAGGAGGAGACCGAACGGAGGACGAGGAGGAGAAGGGAAGGGAAGGTTCCACCCCCTTGGAGCCTGTGGCACTTGGAGGACAGCACGGCCTGGCTGCGGCGGTTCTCCAGGCGCGTGTCGGTCACCCAGCCCTCCTGCAGCGCCAGACGCCTGGCGACCTCTCGTGGGGCAGGGGTAAGGGACGAGGCTCTTAGGGCGAGGCGAGGGAGGGGGACGAGGCATTGGGTGGAAGAGGAGGAGGAGGAGGAGGAGGAGGAGGAGGAGGAGGAGGAGGAGGAGGAGAAGAAGGATGACGACGAGGAGGAGGAGGCGGAGGAGGAGGCAGGGAGGAAGAGGAGGCAGGCATGATGATGATGATGATGATGACGATGATGACGATGACGATGATCATGATGCTGCTGATGATGATGCTGCTGATGATTATGCTGATGCTGATGATGATGATTATGATGATGCTGCTGATGACGATGATGGCGATGATGATGACGATGAGTTTGCTGATTATGATGCTGCTGATGATGAGGATGGTGATGCTGGTAATGATGATGATGGTGGTGGTGATGATGCTGATGCAGATGATGATGATGGTTGTGGTTGTAGTGGTGGTGGTGGTGGTGAAGACGATGATGATGCTGATGCTGATGCAGATGATGCTGCTGATGATGATGCTGTTGATGACGCTGGTGACGATGGTGATGATGATGGTGATGATGATCGTGATAATGATGATAATAATGATGATGATGATGCTGATGATGATAATGATGATGATGATAATAAGGATGACGATGATGATGACGATGATCGTGGTGATGATGCTGATGATGATGACGACGACGGTGATGATGTTGATGATGATGATGCTGCTGATGATGATGCTGGTAGTGGTGGTTGTGGTTGTGGAGATGATGACGACGATGCTGATGCTAATGCTGAGGCAGATGATGATGGTGATGATGATAATGCTGATGCTGATGCTTCTGCTGCTGATGATGATGATGATGGTGATGATGGTGTTGATGGTGAAGATGATGAGGAGGATAAGGTGGAGGAGGTGGTCGAGGTCGACGAGGGACGCCCAGGTGATCAACCGGCACTACAGCGGCTGGACCTTCTGCAGGGAGTGGAACGGCCCGCCCCTCCCCGGCGTGCCGTCCGAGCGCAAGGAGGGCCGCCGCCGCCACCTCCACGCGCGGGGGCGTGGGGTGCGGCACCGACGACTGCCAGCCAGAGTCCCAACGCTTGGCATCACCCTACGATAGGTTCGCGTCATGTCGACCAGCGGCGACCCCGCCGCTGGCGTTCAACGTTGAACGCCTCCCGCGACCCAGAACTGGTCGATGCTGAACGATCTGACGATTCGGAAACGGCCGATCGTTCAAGGTTGAAAGGTCCCGGCGGTGTCAGGAGCGAACGCTGAAGTCGGCACGACACGAACCTGCCGTAACTTGGTGGCGTTCTTAAGGATCCCCTCCATCCCCGAGGGCACATCCCTGAGATATTGTCGTTGCCTCGGGCTTGCCCATGCTGGCCCGTCGGGGCTGGCTGGACGCGGGGGAAATTCTGGTCAGCTCGAGGCTGGACGGACGAGGGGGAAGTTCTCGGATCTCATGAGGGAAAAAAACACACGCAGACACAATTCATCGTCGATTCCCCAGAAAGTATTGGAAACATGGGAAGTGGGGGGAAGACAGAAGCCCAGAAAGTATGGGAAAAGATAGGGAATATGTTTATTTTTGTGTATATATATATATATGTGATATATATATATATATATATATATATGTATGTGTGTGTGTGTGTGTCCCAGTTCCCCTTCAGGATCGAGCATCCCCTCGCGCCCCCGGGGCGGAGTCCGCCTCCCGGCGCGAGCTCGGTCTGCCCACCCGCGATGTCCTGGCAGGATCCGCGGGCGAGGCCCGCCGCGTTGTAGCGCGACCCTTGTCTCAGGAGGGGAAAAACACACAGACACAATGAGTCGTCGATTTCCCAGAAAAACACACAGGCACAATTTATCCTCCTCCTCCCTCCTCCTTGTCCTCCTCCTCCTCCTCCTGCTCCTCCTCCTCCTCCTGCTGCTGCTCCTCCTCCTCCTCCTCACTACCCTCCTACCAATCCTACTCCCATCCTCTACTTAGCCCCTCCTCCTCCTCCTCCTCCTCTCAGAAGGAGAAAAAACACACACAGACACTGTTATTCGTCGATTCCCCGGACCGTTTTGGGAAAATATGGGAAGTGGGGGGGGAAGACAAGATCCCAGAAGACATGGGACAATATGGGGAATCCTGTCCTTTGTGCGTATTTGCTTGTGCGTCCCAGGGCCCCTTCATTGGGAAGCCCGCGGGCCCTCCCGCTCGCGCTGGGCCTCCGTCCCCGACCCCCTCGAGGAGCGAGGATCGAGGCTCGGGCATTGCCGGGCGCGTGTTCGGGAATCTGGCTGATTAAAGCTGTTCGTAGCCCGCCTAGCTTTTGGCGGAAGAGGTTCGCTCTCGCCCCGCAGATCAAAGAAGTGTTTGGGAATCTGGTCGGTGGCTCTGGGAAGCGTTCTCGCCGCGGTCATCTCGCCAGCCGACGCTTTCCACCCCTTCCTCCTCCTCCTCCTCCTCCTCCTCTCTCCTCTCTTCCTCCTCATCTAACTCCGCCTCCTCCTCCTCCTCCTCGTCCTTCTCCTCCTCCTCCTCCTCCTCCTCCTCCTCCTCCTCCTGCTCCTCGTCCTCCTCCTCCTCCTCGCCACTTCTCTGCATATTGAACATCCTCCTCCCCGCCTCCCTGCATACTCAACATCCTCAGTTTCAGATTCCTCGACCTCGAGGTTGGCTCTGGGAGGATGCCTCGCTTCGGGGTGCTTGCCAGCAGCCGCGCCTCGCCGAGAGCGTTCCGGGTGCGCCTGTGTAGTCTCGCTGGGCCGCCGGGGGCTGAGGTTGCGGCCCCAGAGCCACCAGGGTGTGACCTGCTTGCGTCGTGAAAAACTGGCGACGGTCAGGTTGTGTATGTTTGCTTCCAGGGTCTCTTGCCAGGCTCCATGGCCGTTAGAAAACGACCCGGGATGGAAAAGCGGTCCCAGAGAAGTTGTGGAGATCGGTAGGGGTCCACGTTTTGATACAACCAATAGAAAAGCACGAGGTCAGAGGTCGGGGAGTTCCGAGGATCCAAGTCGAGGGTCGATATCCTCCCCTCCTTGCCTCTGTCCTCCTCCCCCTCCTCCTGTCCTACCCCTCCCCCCCTCATCCTCATCCTCCTCCCCTCCTCCTTCGCAAAATCCAGCGAGAGGTGTGTAGTCAGAGACGTGGGATGTATAAGCTGGAGATTTACGCAATCCGCTGGGACTGAAATGCTGGCGGTTGTTCGAGATCGCCTGCTGCTGGCCTTGCTGCGAGTTATGGGAATCATTTGCCTCTTGAAGGTCAGCGGTTTTCATGTTATGGGGTGCTGCTATTTCTCAGCCTTCTCTTCTCGGACCGTCTTCCTTTCCTTGCCGCCCTCTCCTTGCTGGTCAGTGTCGCTTCTCCTCCTCCTCCTGCTCCTCCTGCTCCTCCTCCTCTTCCTCCTTCTCCTCTTCCTCCTCCTTCTCTCCCTTCTCCTCCTCCTCCTCATTATCTTTCCTCCTCCTCCTCATTATCTTTCCTCCTCCTCCTCGTCCTCCTCCTCTTCCTCCACGCCCCCCCAGCCGTTCTGGCCCAGGTGTTTTGGGCTTGCTGCAGCTGTCTTCAGAACGGCGCCGCTGCAGCGAGTCAACTTGGCTGACTGTGCTTCGCTCCCAGGGAGCGCAGGGATTCACAACGAGGAAGGTGCAGCAATGGCGCCCGAACCGCCGCCCGCTCCCACGGTGCTCCGTGGGCCGCGGCGGCCCTTTTGGGCGTGTGGGCGATGCTCAGCGGCGGCGAACTGGGCATCGCGAATTCGATGTCAGTGTGGGAATGAGGCGCCACTACGGATCAGGAACGAGGCTTGGAAGGCCCACAAGGCGGCGGATGCGGCCTTGCCACCTGGTCAGTCGGGGGCGCCATTACCGAAGAGCAAAGGCAAAGACGACACCAGCAAGAGGCTCGCGGAGATGGAGAGGCTCATCAGGTCGTTCTGTGGTAAGGGGGAGCCGCCGCCACCTGCCAGCCCGACCGAGGCTCCGTGGGCCCAGGCAAAGAAGGCGTCGTCGGACATGGGCCCCCTGCTCGAGTCTGATGACGAGAAGGTCAAGCGAGAGAAGCTCACGGCGCAGCTGGGGCAATACGAGTCGGTGCTCAAGAGTTTGCCTGGGCCCGATGATGGCCCCATTCGTGCCGCGACGATTGAGAAGATCAAGAGCATACGGGAGCAGCAGAAGGCGCTGCGCACTCCCGCGATCGCTCATCGCAGGACGGCCCAGGATTTGCACAAGGCCCGCCTGGCCCGTGCAAAATCGGAGGCCGAGATTGTTGAGAAGTCCGCGCAGATGCAGAAGCTGCAAGAGACGATCGACGAGCGCAGGCTGCAGCTTGAGGCGAAGAAGCTCGAGGTGGACAAGCTCGACGCCGAGTACAAGCGGACGGCTGCTCTCATCGCTCAGTCTGATGGGGAGCCGAAGCCGACGGTCACCTTCAAGCTGGAGATTAAGCCTGAGGAGACGCAGGATCCTGAAGTGCAGGCCTTCCTCGGGTCGGACAAGTGGGAGATACTCAAGCCGATCATCCTCGCGAAGATCGGGCGGCCCTCGCATGGGGGGAATGACCATGCTCCTGATGCTGCTACTGAACCTCCTGGGGGAGATGTGGCAGCAAGGGGCGACGATATCGACATGGAACAGCTCAATGGGGATGACTTCGAGGCTCGAGCGGAAGCGTTTCGAGCTGCTGCCGAAGCACTGCGAGCTGCTGAAGGTGCTGAAGCCCAGGCAGACGCCAAGCGGCAGCTTCTGCACGCTCAGGAGGCCCTCGGGGTCAAGCGGCGCAGGCAGGGGCTTTAGCCAGGCGGCCAGGCCACAGCGCGTGCAGCAACGGTGGAGGCTGTGGACGATCAACGCGAGCGCCTGGAGCTCGTTCCAGGGCTGCTTGGACTGGCAGAAGAGTTGGGGAGGTGACGCTCGGCCACATGCATGTTTTGGTCAGGAACATCGGTTGAAAGATCTTGCCAAAGTTCGTGGCGCGGCAGGTTGGCTCCGAGCTCGTGGCTATCACGGGGCGTTCGGCAGGGCGAAGCCCACGGGACCCCTAGCCACGGAATCCTCAGGAGGAGTGCTGACGGCGGTGGCGTCACACATCGCTTTCGCAGGGTTGAGCCTCAAGCATGTTGGCGCCCAGGCTGGGTACTTCTCGAGGCTGAAGCTGATTCGGGCCAACATGGCCTTTCCCCGCGGCCTGCTGCTGGGCTCGATCTACGGGTTCGTTGACGCGTCCGACAAGGTGTTTACTTGGGACATGCTGGAGGATTTGGGAGTTTTTCTGCGTAGGTCCAGGTCTCCGTGGATACTGGCAGGGGACTTCAACTTGCCGCCAGATGATCTTAAGTTGTGCAAGTGGGTAGAGCTTCTGAAAGGTACGATCGTGGCCCCAAGTGGCCCGACTTGCTTCGCTGCCAAATCGGGGTCCACGATTGATTACTATATTGTGAGTCAGGGGTTGGCCAATTTTGTCAGTGATGTACGCACGATTTACGGCGCCCCCTCATCGCCGCACGTCGCGGTTGCCATGCAGCTCAAGGGCCCCACGCTGAACATCCCGATCCACGTCCGCAGGACCTGGGAGCCCTTCCCCACTACCCTACGGATGGGGCCGCTGCGGGAGCCTGCCGTGCACAGATGGTCCTGGCCTGCAGGGGTGCTCGCAGGGGTTCAGCTGGAGGAGGCGTGGTGCCAGTGGCTGAGCAACATGGAGCTGGAGCTGTGCAACCAGTTCGACATAGTTGGAGCAGGGCAGAAAGGCTTTGTTGGCAGAGCTGACGGGTTCGAGCGTCGGCAGGTGCCCCTCTCCGTTTCTGTTGAAAAGGCGGAGCTGTCTGGCAGTGGGGCCCAGATGCGAGCATGGAGGTCGCTTGATGCTATTCTTTCCAGGTTCCAGGCGCTCCAGGACGGCACCGTGGGCGCTGGTGATGAGGAAGCCGTGCAGCCGACATCGGTATGTTCAGGTGGCGCTTCTGCTCCCTGTGCCGAAGGGCTCAGCATCGAGGGTACGACGCCTTCCTTGGGATCCATGGG